GACCCCGTATAGATACGGGAAAAGCCACAGAAGAAGAAGAATGTAATAAAGGGTTAAATTGAGGTAAAGTGGACTTGAATGGCGTCCAGCCCCTAGAGGATTCAAGCCATTAGCGTTCCAGATCTTCTGATTGCAATGTTAAAGTGGATCACGAAAGGGAGTTCTATCTCTTTTAGAATCTTGATTTAACCACTGCATTAAATCCTTTGCGGGCTTTAGGAAAGGGATAAAAAATAGCCCAATACTATAAATTTTAATACAAGAAGAGTATTTTCTTGCAATTAAAAAGGGAAAGAAAAAGCGAGACAGAAAAGATATGTTGCAGAGTCTCATAATGAATTGCATATGGTTTGATGGACATATTATCAGATCAGTGTAATACTGATTGTAGTTCCACCACATTACTAGTCTGTTATTGTTACTAGAAGACAGACTGAAAACTTAGAGAAATACTCTCTACCCAGTTTTGTTAGTTTTAAGGCCGACCAGCAATCATAATTCTATTTTTAGAAAACTTATTTGCGCTTCATCCTCATATCAGTTCGATATATTAAAGTTTTCAGTTTGTCGCTGAAGAAGAGAGGCACACATTTCGATAGCGCTCGGATTATAGGGTATCGTATCTTTGTGTTAAAGTTGTCAGATTTAAAGGTAACAATACAATCAATTATTGCGAGATGCCCCCTGTTGGCTTCTTAGTAAGATTGAAGGCTTATAACGCTTACTTTAAGGGTTAGATTCTTGTTGGTCAAAGCACATATAGAACATTCTGCAACTTTGCGCTTAACAAAGAACAGGCAACGTCGTACATGTATTTTCCTGGTTCACTACCATGTACTTTATTTTATTCTATAGAACGCCATCTGTGGTATATTATACGTACATTTTTGAATATATACCAAGAATAAGAAAACAAACTAACGATTGCGCTTGGAAATTATGTCTTCAAATACAAAATAACTAAAAACTAGTTTAAAAATTCATGTAACGTATACTTGTAGAGATATATTCTGTTTAACTTCTTTACAGACATCGAATGCTTGGGTAAGAAAATAACTACTAGCTTTTCTGGGACAGTAAACTCTAGATTTTGAAAGGTAGCAGCTATGTTCAGAAATTCTGAATACTTTTTTCAACAATTTTAAATTTTTTTAACTACTTCTTTAAGAAACAAATTATAGAGAGTTATCAACTCACAGTTCTGTAATTATAATAATTAATTAGTCAAAATGTTAACCAAAGATAATTGTAAGAAACATTTGCACACAATTCAGGAAGTGTTAGCTGGTTTGTGATAAGCATTCTCTTACGCTCATGTTGCTTGGTTACTTATCATGGCATCTAGAATAACACAGACTTGCCAATTTAAACTTCATAAAAGTTGTTTTCGTTTTAATAACGGATTTTCCATTATCCAGCTACGCAGATTTCAAAAATATTATATTAATTTTTTCTATCACGTAAGGATTTTTTACAAATCGGGAAGAAACAAAACTCTTACTTAAATCAAATTATTATTTCGTTTACCACTATGAACATTTTTTATTATTATG